TCATCCATCCATCCATCCATTCATCCATCCATCCATCCATCCATCCATCCATCCATCCATTCATCCATCCATCCATTCATCTATCCATCCACACATCGCCTTTAAATTCTGTATCAAAATGACTGCCTGCTTCACATTTAACTTACCACTGCCTTAATCTGCTTTTTCTTCCTAACAGATATCATGAACACATTGCATATTTTTCATTTTAAAACTTGCATTTTGGCGTTACATACTTACACTTGCAAATATAATTAATTATTATACCAAAATGCTATACTTTACGACTCTGTCTTCTCCATCTATCCTAGGCAAAAATATGCTTGAAAGTTTGACGTTTTTGAAAGTAATGTCAAAAAAAATGACAGTATTCACCACGGAAGAAAAATTCTAAAATAGGCTTTTTGATTTGTTGGACGAAATTGGTGGGGATGAGATGGATCGAGAGCGAGTGTTCCGAAGTGATGGAGGACCGCGGTATACACGTTGGAGACCATGTTTTTTAGCTTGTGAAGACACCAATGTTAGTGTGTACACTTACAAAGGGATTTTAAATGTTTTAAAAATTCTATCGCTACTTTTTTTCGTACAAATATTAATTCAACGAATAATAAAACATCCGGCTTGATGCTAATATAGATATTCCATGTTAGCATTCAGCAATAATCTGACTACTTTTAAAAGGTACCTTGTTGGCCCACAGCGCAAACAGATCCTTCTCGTGGACGTTTTCCATATTATGGGCCACGAAATTACAGTGTCCGCGGTACAGCATGTGTCTCACCTTTTTCTGCATATGAAATCCTTTTACGTAAAAAAAAAGAATTAGGCAGGATTAGTGAGGTTTATCGATTTTTCATTTGCTCACAATTTACTGCATTCTGATTTTTTCTGCTATTACAGCTCCCATTCATAAAAAGTTGGTATATGCTAGCTAATTAGTATGAAAGTAGGTCATATTATGTGGCAGTTATTTTTCTCGGTTAGATTCTTTATTTATTTCAGAATGACACAATTTACTTGAAAATATTTACTGATGAATTACTATATGACAGGAACAACAAGCCGAGAATACAAAATGTTTTTGCATATGCACAAGGTCGCTTGATGGTGAGGTCAAAACTTTTTTCACTATCAACACTGGTAGAAAGTAGAGATTAGCGGTTTGATCCTATGTTTCTAGAAAAACTGCAGAAATTATGTAAATTTTAATCTGAAAATGCCGACAAAAATACAAAAACAAGTCGTTCAACAGCTCATTCTTCACTATTTCTGTATAATCAGTTTGGTCAACAGTGTAAAACTAATAAAATGAACGTTATTGTCTGTGAGTGCTGAAATTGTGGTATTTAATTTTTTAAATGAAGAAAACCTAATTTAGCAATCGCTGCATTACTCTTGGAGATTTTTTGCGTGGCATCAATAAAAAAGCTCGGATTACAATGGCAAAGCAATATCCTTTATATCATCACATATTCTCAATTGGAGCTGGTTGTTTTGTTGAAATAGAATATGGACTAAAGGTCACACATATTTAAAAGAATGAAAAACATATTCCTTAACCTATTTACTTGATCAGATCAGCAATCACTATGCTGATGGCTTACTTAAGGTTGAATATCATGCATGTTTTCCTGATTGTCCTTGTAATCGATCATTACATGCACCGGTGATTTTTATGGAAAGTCTTTGTATTTTGGAAGGGAAATGTAACGCAAGCATTATTGTCGAGGAGGTAAGTGAGGCACTTGCCTTTCTTTCCATTATGGAAACCAAAACTTCAATGAATTAATAAGTAAGTCAGTTATTAATAAGTAAATAAAAGCATGCATAACTGGTAGAATTTTCTTTTTTGCATTTTTGAATAATTCTTTTCTCAGATTATCGCTCATAAACATTCTAGAACAAACCTTATTCAAATTAAGTTTCATCCTCTACTCAAATGTATTAAGAGCAATCATACTTTATACTCTGAATGTAAAAAGGACAGAAATGTCTGTAATTCATTAGTACGAAACGAAAGTTGTTATTTAAGCACCAAATTGAGATTATAGGTAAATTATTCATCTTCCGCAAATTTTCGGTAGTACATCGCTGATAGTTCAGAAATTTAATTTTCATCACCTTTGAATTGTGAAGATAACGTGAGTAGTGACTGAATGCTGCTCATATGTCAAGTTGCGAAATGACTTCAGATGACTTTTAAGAGCAGTGAAACGCTCTTTATGCTTACTTTTACACTAATGTTGAATGAAATCAGGAGTCAGTCACTTTGGTTTGGTCACATCTTTGTGTTAAAAATTAATTCAGCAACAATGATGCACAGCCTTTCCAAACTTTTATCAGTGTGTTGTCATCACGTATGAATAGAGCTGATTTTGTTATCAAAATTGCATGTCCTTGTTAACATAGTAAAATACAAGTAAATAAGTTGTTGTACATAGTCGAAAGATTTATTCCACAATTATCGTTATTTTTGACTTCGAAAACTTTAATAAATTTTGAAGGCAGCATGAAAATGCATTAATATATAATAGCTAATATATAATAGGGAACTAGTTGGAGAAACAATCTTGTCATAAATTCAGGACGATAATATTTATAATGAACAGATGGATGTGATGCAAAATATTACAATAATTGACGATGCAAAACCATCAAGCGATATAATGTTTCCTTCGCTATCATTGCTTGTTGTTGGCTTAATGTGCTTTATTACTGGTAAGTTATCATCTGCAGTTTTATTGCTACAACACAACTGCTTGTAATTCTCATTTGATTTATTTGCAAAATTTATTTTTTTCAATGTTTAGTATTCGGAAATTATAATTAATGCTAATTGATTTAAGGTGTATGAAGGAAAGAAGTAATTACTTTAACTAAAACTATGCATATTCGAAGGAAATCACCATATGTTCATTCTTTCCAATAATTTTCAAAGATCAAAAGGTCATCATCTGTCTTCCTGTATATTTTTCATTTTTCAGCTATTGCAGTAGCAGCAGCTGGAACGATTGCGTGCACAAACAAAGTGAATAGGTCAGCAACGAAAGTTCAAACCTAGCTGATTTCAGTGAGACAATTCAAAAACTGTTGCTGTAAAGTTGCTCAATTTTCATTAGTTATTAAATATTGTTGGCCAAATGAAGTTTTTCCCTCCATATCAATTTTTCCTTTGATCTATTGTTACATTTGAATACTTTCTGTTTTTCTCTACATAAATGAATCGAGAAAGTCTAAAAGTTGAAGCCGTCTTTCTTTGTTGAATAATTATAGTTCAAGTGATGATAATATGATATTATTTTTTAACTTTTCGATGTTCTCAAAATTCGAATTTAATTATGAAGAAATGGAAAGTGCTTCAATAATATCTAAAAGTCCGCGTACTGTTTTTCATCACGTACAAAAGATATCAAATTTTACGCTCTAAATAAAACAAAAGTTCAAGAAATTAGAGGAGCGAATGCTGCATGCCATCGCATTGGAAGAAAACTCACTTTCGACTACATGCTTTTTTCTCACGGTTGCGTGAGTTAGTAACATAACTTGTCAGACTAATGCTATTTTTCTGATCCTACTTTGCAGATATATGACTCTACAGGAAAATAACTTGAAAAAGTATTCCGACGTAACATCATACCCACACTTGTTACAAATTCCCATTGTTATTATTTTTTCAATCTTACACAGATTATTAACATTTTATACATCAAGACTCGTAAAATAATATCTACGTCACAGATATAATACAAAATTCAGTTCCCTTTGTCTTCCTCATCAGTTGTTTCGAAATGTTTACTTTTTACTGCATTTTCCGAAAATAGAATTAAAAACAAAGTCGTATCTGTTAATGGCTACAAGCGTGTCTACTTTATGGGTCAGAACAATCGCTTTCATTTTTGTTCATCACTGGAAATACGAGGTCAGTTAGTTGAATGCTCTTCAACTGCTACCTCTAAACGAAGTTTCTGCACATCTAACCTTTCAATTATTCTGTGTGCATATGAATTTTGTAAGATACAAACGAAGACAATAATATTTTGCATTGTACTGTTGAAGCAAACCAGTAATCTTAAAAATCTTTAACTCTTGAGATGGTATGACAGACACTTAAGGAAACCTGACAGGATTCTGCGTGTTATTGAATCTTTGCAAATATAATTTCCCTAGTAATGAATTAGTTTGCGACTCAGCTTTTTCTACAGTAAAAATACTAAAATGACGAGCAATATTAATGCAAGGTCAAATTTTATTGAAATATTCAAAGTAAAGCGTTCGTAATCACTCTGCTAGTTCTCTGCAATTGCAGTCATTTTGGTATCGCTTGCAGTTTTTTCCACCTCTGAGCAAGCAATGGAAAAATTTTCGGCATTCACTTTTGCAGTTTTCAGTTCTGAAACATCTCAATTATTAAATAACTTTCCAAGATGTATTTGTTATCAGTAATATATTTCTAAAAATTTCTTTTATGAAATCCCAAACTGCTTAGAGTTCTGTAAAATGCATACAAAAATTTAACAAATAAACTTACAATACAATAAATTGTTATAAATTGCAGAAATCATGTAATTTCAATAAACGTGACTTTAATCTCTGCAAACTTTCAAGGAATCACTTCATACTTGAGTGCATCCGCCATGTCGGACGTAGTCGCAAGAAGTAGTGTTATGAGAAAAAGAAGCTTGAATGATCCGGTCATGCTGTCGCTCTAGCTATAACTATAGCTGCTTGTGAAAAATTTGGCAGGAAAGCAATTTAAATACCCGAATGTGTAGCAAATTTTTTTGCATACGAAAATCCTTCAACATCTCCACTGCTGCACTCTAACTCTAACTCATCACGTAAGGTCTAGTAATCAGATGCCATTATGGCGGCAAAAGTTATATCAGAAACACTCAATTGCTCATATTTTTACTAGCACTTTAATTTGACTATATAATAGTGAATGAATGCACGATCTTTGTAACACTTTCTGTTCACTGAACTAAATGCTTAAGAGTAATGCGTTACTTCTATAAATCATTTTCTCTAAGAAGCTAATTTGTTATCCATATCCATTAACAAACTAATTTTATCGATTTTCTTGATACCTCAAGTGACTAATGAAAACAATAAAATCAAACACTGAAATATTCGCGCAAATGTTGAATGGTATTATTTTCTGCTAGTTCAGTGAACAGAAAGTGTTACGGTAAAAAATTTTTAAACTACGAGCGATATAACAAGTAGTCCGACAAATAAATATTCAGTCTTACACAAACTTGGAATTACTGTAAAAAACTGATATGGATTGAGAAGACACCTTGATAACTTCTCTTTGGCATAAGTAAGCTTTGGAAACAAGAATGCTTCTTCTTCACAGCTCACTTTTTTCGATGAAATTAGATTCTGAAAGAAGCACTGGCAATTAGTTCATAAAGACTGCTCTTTCTCTCTCATTATTAACACTATAGCATACGAACCACATCACATTGTGCCATACGATTCAGTTTTGTGCTAATAGCAACATGCTGGAGATAGCAAACTGATAAATTAATCACTCTTTCAATGCTATCCAAATGATTATAAATTATAAACAGAAAGCACAGAGTAAAATCCATCAGTGGCTTTTACTGCGCATGATATGAACGGAGAGAGCTGAGCTGCTCACTGTAGCTCTGGAATCAGCCCTGCCATATTCTTTTTTTATATTTCCTTCTGGTTTGTAAAAGAAAAATCCAAGGTATTAAATAAATACAAGTATGCAAGTATAAGAAAATACAAGGATGTAAGTGTAAAGACGCTTCTTTGAATGTCAAATGAAGGCTTTTTGTTAAGCTCTAACAAACAGTGGAAGGAAATGGTAGAATGCTGCGTCGATAATCCGTAAAAATAATTTTCTAGTTAGCTTCTGTTCGCTTCTCATTCAGCATTTTCTGTTTCTCTAATTAATGCTAATTCTTTACTTGTTTCAAGTAGCAGTGAATCTTATAGCGTTGCATTATTTCAGAATAGTTCACCATTTTGATTTACTTTGCCAAAAATAATATTATTACTTAATAAAATGTGTCTTGTTTTATGTCAATTTTGGTATTTTTATCGTACTAGAAAAATGAGTTAAGCTTGTCACACCGTATGTCATAGTGTTAACGTAGTTGCCATTTTAAATTTTCTCTAAAATTATTCTTAGTAGTGACAATATTTATTGATGTACAGTGATAAATAGTGTTATTGGTGGAATACTATTTAATGCATAAATTAATATATGGCATGTTGCACTGGCAAATAATATTCGCAAAATAAACGTTTTCAACTGAATAACAGCTTTCATATTTGATATTTACTATCTTTAATAAGCTTAATTATAAGTTAAGGTGCAGCGTTGTTTTCGTAAAAGTCAAAGATGGAAAGGAGAATGAATTACTATGATGTGCTAAGATGTTTCGTTTAATATTGTAATTTCTTCACGTTTTGGATTAACTTCGAGTTGCTCTTCTCAACAAGCCATATAGTATACTTTCATTCCTTACTTCCACTTAGTGCACTAAAATGAGAAGCGCTGTACTGACATCTCACAGAACAAAGCATCTAATAACATTGCTACAAAAATCTCTCTACAAAGAAAGCATCTTCAAAGCTTCCAAAGTTTCTTCGTAAAATCTGTAGCAGCAGCCACATCAAATGCTATTTATAACATTGAATTCGAGAAACGAAAACCGTATTAACGTGATTTTTGCATAGTACACTTCCGTAACAGAAGAATTTTTGGTATAAATAAATGCATTTTATTGTGTTAACATCTGTTAATAAAACTTTGTTTATGGAAGCAAAATAGATAAATGTTCACCTTGAAGACAGTGAACTCTGCATCTTTCGGTGGTATCAGTGGTGACAAAAAAACTGCTACGTTCAACACGACGCTCAGTTGACTACTGACTACTACAGTCTCATAGGCATTCGGAAAATACAATAGTTGTAATTTGAACAAAGCAAAAAGATTTCGGACAAGCTTTCAAATTTACACATTAAATGCTGTCTGTGAAACTGTCCAGTGTAGTTATTTAGTTATAAATAAACATGTAATTAACACAGAATCATAGGATTGTTCATGAATGTAATACTGAAAAGAGGACTGACTCGCTGGGAGCGTTTTTTGCCTTCTCACAATTATTAAATTGTTATTAAATACAAATGGTTTAGCTATTCCATCTCAAAATTTAAGCATAAAAGATTCAGAGTCATTTCTTCATATTTACTGAAAGTGTTGTACTCTGATTTTTCTAGTTGTCGCGGCAAAATTATTTGTTTTAGCAGAGTAAAAAACCTCTTGCATTCTTCATCCTATGCTAATTTCCAATTCGAGCGCTGGCAATGTCACTTCTTAGTGTGTGCAATGTTATAATCTGTATAGATTGAGAAAGTAGCAACAATAGTAAATTGTAACGAACTAGTGTGGCTGTAATGTTACGCCGGAATATTTGTGGAAGACAGCATTTAAATAACTGCTTATCTTAACATTTGATGAGATTATTGAATCCCATGTAAAGTTAGAAGTGTTTCAAGTCTATGCTGTTTGCTTATGCAGAAAACAATATAAGGTCATTGTAACGTAGCACATAATTTGATAGAATAATCCAATCCTATTAATTTCCGAAACTGAAACAGAGCTCTATCCACAGAAGTCAAAAGAAAAAATAATGTACCTGTTCTGAACATATAAACAACGAATCAAACCAACTCAGATTCTAAGTGAAAATATTAAATGGTGCGGAAATCAACTAATCATATATGTGATAAGCTGACAGTCCTATGTTGAATAGAAAGTACTAGTGCCAGTAATTACTAATAAAATACTGATCCCAGTAATCACTCATAAAACAAAGTTACCATACAACCCAGAAAGGTCCTCTTCCTTTTGAATACTAAAAATAACTTCAAAACAGAACACTACATAACAAGACTTGCTTTTGTACTACGCTTGTATCGTGTTGATTTATTGACTGGGCAGTAAGTTTATTCGAAATGATCAAAATTAGGAAAAAATCAACCGAAAGCTGAACAGCTGCTTTCTTCCTGTATCCAGTAAATAAATAAATGTAGCAATATCAGCACTACATACGACTGAAGATTTAAAAAAAGTTCAGAATGTGTCTTCAAATTTTACATTTACATCGTGTTACTGCAGTATTGAAAAGAATAACTGAGAAACGAAGAGATTCTATGTCGAAGTAATTCTGACCGGATTTCAATCATTAAAATCACTACAAATAATCAATAACAAAGAAATTACAATTTCACTTGTTTCGCTGTCTATTTCAGTTTTAATTTTGCCACATTTCTTCACAAAAAAAATAGTAAATTTCGCAACAATTGACTTAAACTGATAAGCAATAATCTCAATGATATTTACTCCTCACTAATCTTTTTTTGTTACAGATCGAAAATGCCACCCTAACAAACCACATAAAAAACAGCTCTCGTCTACTCCTTCACATGTACCATTAATTTTTTGCCTTACATGCTAAAAGATGAAAAGTGATTACTGGGACTATTATTTTATTAGTGCAAAAGTTACGAGTATTCATGATCTGAAAAAGAATAACAATATAAACCTTTACCTAAAATGCCAAAATTGTATGGTTTTTTTTTCCTTTTGAGAGATTAGAAAATGATATTGCAATGATATCGCTCACTTTTTTCATTCCTGCTAGAGAAAAACTGCGTCACTTGCTAATCAGTTTTCTATATTTTTACTAGTGACTTCATTAGAAATAATACATCAACATCCACCCAGAATCAGAAGAAAAATGATCAAGTATTTCTCTTCTTGTGCCTATCACCAGAGGGTCTATGTCCTTTCTTACGGTTCATTTGCTTCAGACGCCGATTATCTTTTTTCAGTCGCGCATCTACAGCCTATGGTAGAATAATAATAGTATGATACAGATCTTTAGTATGAAGACTAAAAACTAAAAGTTACCGAAATTCCTAACAAATAAGCAAATAAAAATTGCGATCTAGACTTATTCAAAAAATATAAAATATTCAGATAATTCATTTACTCAAATTACACATGAAAATTTAGGTTACAACTTTTTTCTGAACTCCTTAGTCCATGAAAAATAGAAACAACTTACTTTGTACGGTCCTTTTGGTCTAGACAGGCATCCTCGTTTACCTTTCGTCACGACTGCATAAGTCACTTTTTTCTTTTCAGTTAAAGATCTCGCTGTTTTACGATATAATCTTTAAAGTTATAAATAATATTCCAACCTTTTAAGACATCTTTGATAGTATAGATTTTTGCAAATAAAGTTTTGGTTCAACGAAAAATGACCGACAACTTTTTCAATCAACAATGACAAAAGTACAACATGTCTAACTTACTTTCTCACTTCTCGAATTTTCTCTGCCTGCTCCATATTATCATTTTCAAGAATAACTTCCGCTCTTTGCTTTGCTGACTGCAGTCTTCGCTCACGTCGTCTTTTTTTGCGCGCTTTTGCCTCAGCAACTTTTTTGATAGTTCTTGTGTTGATATCCCGCATGCGATTTTTGTAAAAATCTACTCTACTCTGAAAAATTTTGTCAAATTATGACTTCCGAAAGTGTATTACTCAATAATTTTGTTATGAATAGCTAACTTTCGAAACTGGGAGCTCCTTACGAAAATGTTTTTTTTCATCTTCCATGAACCAATCGGGTAGACCTTCATCATTATTAGCATACCTTTAAATGACTTCGCAGGCTAAGTGTATAAAAAAATCATGTAATTGTTCAAATTACGATGCACAAGAAAATGCAAAAATTAAAAAGAACATTTACGGTAGGAACTTCAGTAATGATTATATTTGTTTTTCAACCATACCAAGAACAGCTTGTTACGAAAAAAAATTCTTAAATAAGATTATACACATTTTCAGTTATCAGTTATAAAGAAAATTACCTATTCCAACCCCAATCTTCCAAATCTCGTCTTGTTTTTGACGAGTATATCAACTGTTCTCCAAGAGCAAGTAACTCTGGTGAGAGTTTCTGCGTCTCGCCTTCAAAAAAATAGTGAGCTCAACATTAGAATAATTTCAAGATATTAAGAGAAAGTCAAACCTTGTTTATTAGTGCCAACCAAACCTAAAGCGGCGTTCCGCTGGGCGGCCTCACCTTCAGAGTATTCTTCATCAGTTTCCTCATCCTTAACAAAAACAGACGAAGCCACTGTACTCTTCTGTTCTTCATTATTTAGTTTAAAGTGATTTCCTGGAACGCCCTGCACATTCAAGCATAATTCTTCTTGTTCGGTTTGTTGCTCTGATATGACGCCATCTTTTTTAATACCAACTAAATAAATAAAAATATATATATATATATATGATGTCAAGCAAATTTTAAAAAAATACCTTAAAACGATGATAATAAAGAATCTTTACCAATCTTGTTCTTCATAAATTTTTCGACAGCCTTTACAGCATCTTCATCGTCATCTATCAATTCATCGACTTTACTCTGAAAGTAAATGTTTTTGGCAAAGATACAAAATTTTTATAGAATCATTCGCGTCATTCTTCAAGTGAATTCCTTCTTGATAAATAACTTTTGAAATGATTCAAGACTTTGAATAAAAAGAACTCAAAATAGAAGGACTTTCGAAACTTCTTATCAAAAACGCATGAAAAACAGAAAGAACAATATCTATAAAAATACATACTCTTTCGAACCATTCGGTTTTTCGAGCCTCTTTTTTCTCTACTTTTGACATACTTGGATCTTGCTCGTGGTAAAGTTCCTCAATATCATCGATTCTAAAAGCATAATTTTTATAAAAATTTTGTTAACTGAAATTAACATGGCTCAAAAAATATATAACAGAACACTGCGCTAATATGTGATTACGTTAAAATGAACTGGAACCAGCATAAAAACACAAAATGAATACAGTTAGATCTAAAAGGAAACAAATACATAAAAGTTTATTGGACAAGCTTTGGAATGATATTTTTTAGCATACCAACAACCATTAACAGATGTTTACATACCCAGAAAGATCACTATTACTGCTACTATCTTCGTCATTACTATCCTCGTGACTTTCACCACTATAAGAATCAGAAAATGCTGTACTTTGTTGATTCTTTGCCCTAGCAAGTTTCTTCAATGAAAATAACTCCTGCTCTTCTGGAATTTCATATGAATCATCTTCATTTACCATCTTCAATTTTTTCTTTTTTTCAAAATCAGCTTTTTCTTTCAACAGTTTCCGCTTCTTTTTTTTGAGAGCAGCCTGAAAACCCACAGTGACTACGAAATTTCTAGTAAATAAATTTCTTAAAAAGAAATTCCGATATATAAAAAAATGAACTTTTTCTTCTGCCTGTGCTAGTAGTAGCTGATTTTCAATTTCTGCCATCCGTTCATCCCTGAAAATATAGGATAAGTACGAATAAAACAGCTTAAAATAAATTAAATTTGTAAAGATATCTTAATTTACTCTGTAGTTAACACTGCTGTGGGATCATTAACCACAGTTTCCACTTCTTTTCCCAGCTCCTCACTGATTTTTTTAAGAATTTTGCGTCTCCACTGCAAAATCAATCGTAGCTCTCTCGGGCCACACACCTTTACATCTTCCAAGCAACATTTTACTTCGTCTGTTGTCAGTTCATCATTTACCCACTTCTCATTATCAAGAACAATCTGGAAAAATGTTGAGAGATAAATTTGATATTTCAATCATAAGATCCAAATGGACAGCAAAAACTACAGCCTTTCAATCAGATTCATATTCATCTAAATTCATTCAAATGATATCGCTAAATTATTACTATAGAATTCTCAGCAGTTAGAAATATCACTAATTATTAGAAAAAAAAGACTTCGTGTACACAAATTTGCTAGATTATTGCACAAAAAGTAATTCCATATCACTCTAGATCAAAATGTAATTTCCTAAATAAAATAATTCACTTTATAAGCCGAAGCCAAAAGTTCCAAATAACTGGTGCTTTGTATAAAATCTGTAGCATTTATAGTTTTATGCAGTGAAACAGATCCATTTTCATAACCTATCGCTTTCACTTTTTTTAACTTTTTGAGCGGTTGCAGAAGTAATTGCCTAAAACCAATAATCTGGTTCAAATGAATAATATTACTGTGAGAGATTACAATAGTTTATAAATGAACAAAGTTTTATAAAAGAAATGAAAAATCATGAAGAATAACTGACGGATTTGAAACAACTGATTGTTCTGTTGTTTCAGCAAAAACTTTTTTAGAATCTAATAAATCTTGATTGAGGTTTGCAGGTTTAATGTATTTCTCGCATACAACAAAGATTTCTGCAGATTCTAGACGCGATGCAGCTGGTTTCCATACATGCACCTGTAGTCCAATTACAAGAAAGAAAAATATGAGTAAAAACAAAAAGAAAAAAGGACTCTGTGTAAAATCAGAATTTTACTGGCTCACATTATAGAAAAAAGTCAACAGGTTAAATATTATTTTTTGAGTCATTAGTAGATTAAATTTGTAAATTTTTCATAACAGATGGCATGCACAACAAGTTTAATGTATTTATCAATTCCAGATACCTGCTTAAAGAGTTTTTCAAAGACTGCTATCAAATTGTGGTAATCACTCGATCGGAAAACTTTAGTAACGAAAATGCCATTTTTCGATAATATCTGAGTTGTAAGCTTCAATGCCGATAATGTCAAACAATTTTGTTGAAATGCGTCTTGAATCCAATTGCGACCAACATTAGGCGCGCCATCATGCAAAACACAATCCGCCTGCAGATAAATCACGGATCTGCACAGAAATATATGAAACATCAGAAACAATGTGAAACTTCAAAAATTCAGATCCCAACTGTTCCAATACTGTATAACAAAGAATAATCCTTTATAGTATGTATCCCGAAAAATATTTATTAAATATAACTACACAATTTTTAATATGACTTTAAGGTGTACTTGAACACTACATTTTATGAACAGTTTCTCGATCAGATATCAAATCTGAAAGCAAATTACGAAAATAATCTTATCTCTACTAAGAGTAGTCTACTTTGAAATTTCAGCAAATAGTAAAGTAAAGAAAACGCACTTCCCAACCCCGCAATTCTTTTCGAATCATTTGTCTAGTTTTTTCCGTGGTGATGTCGCCTTGCAATGTAATACATCTATTTACTGGTTTAATTGGTACTAAATCTACGCCTGAAAAAATTTTTTGAAAAGATTATTTAAATACACTATAATATAAATATGTGCGACATCTGGTAATATTTTTCTCGTTTTTGTTTTTCAGATGATAATTAATGTACTGATATTTTTAAGAATAGCAGCCTTACCTATGCAAAGAGATGACACTGGCATATTTTGTGAAGCAACCTGAAGCCAGCCTCCTGGAGCTGCACATAAGTCCACAACTGCCCTAGACTTTTGCAAAAATTCAAATCTTTTATTAAGCTGTATTAATTTGAATGCTGCACGTGATCGGTACCCTAAAATAAGATAAGTACAGACGATTCTCCTTTCGCAGAATTATCAAGCTACTTTCCATCCATGAAGTTTGTTAATTTCCGTCACTAGCATTTAAAAATAAGCAATACTAATGATTGAAACTCATAACATCTATGCGTATATTGACGGACCTGTCTCCTTTGCTAGATGATAATATTTATCGCGACGTTGTTTGCCAATTTTTGTTTTCTTACCCATTTTTTATTATCTTCGAATACTTGAATTCCTGAAAATTGGTACCTAAATAATGTTTTACCGTTGTTCATTCGTAAGCAATGTTTGATAAAAAGGCAAATAAATCGCAATTTCTAACGACTTTGAATACGGTATTCAAACCACCAATATTAATGTATTTGCTGTGAAAATTAATTCAATATGTTACATTTTCTCATGCAGCTATTTTGATATTTAAAAGTGTCAAAATACTTTTACAAAACCAGCCTTTACCTACATCTATTTCATGCAAAATTTACCATCACTTTTTATATGAATCTTCTCATTTTTGTACCCTAAAAATGCTTATCAGACTTTACTTCATCTCAGAACACACGATCAACACTCTAAAAAAGACACAGTATTTGCTTAAATTGCCTTCCTCTCTTATCAGATAAGAAGACGACTAGCATATTCACAGATCTTTTTAGATATTATGTACTAAAGAAATTTTATAACCAATTTGACGCCCCATAATTAGTGCTCCAAAATAAACATAGTAATTACTGAGTTTCTGAGAATGAAAAATATAGAACACGAAGCAGAATACGTGGGAAAACTCGTAGAAAAAGCATCAGGACATCTCAAGAATCTACTGGAATTACTCACTCTTGAAATTTCCCTTGTGATACTTTCCATGAAAATATTATGTCTCATTGTAGGCAACAGGAAATTCCTTTGGTTACGGGGACAAATAGCTGGAAATCAATGGCTGCTTGTCGTAGTTTGGTTTTGTATGATTTTTTGTATCTTATCCTTTTTTTTCGTTTCTCAATTAAAGAATGCCTCAATTTTGAATTTATTTGAATATTTTTCACTCATATTAGTGCTAGTATACCTGCTTATTATTTCCAAATGCACTATATCGATCTCGTGTGTGCTTCTTTTGTTTTAAAATTAAGCTTGCTAGATCAGTGCAGAGTATTGAGTTAGAATTAGTCTAGTCATAAAATAAATTTGCTTGTGAACTCTGCCCTTATTTTATTGTTTAGGTTTGAAATTCTTCTGAGGAATGTAGACGCATGCATAAATTGTTGATCAGATTGCTGCCGACTGGAGTGATATCTGAGGATGAGGATTGAGAAGAATTAACATGCGCTTTGAAGATATCATCATTCCAAAGGTTATTATTTCACTTTCATGTCAGATTGCTTATTTGATGCTAGAAACTATGGAAAATATACGTCAAATAGGTGCAGATTCGTAAGAAATGAGTATTCTAAGAATTGCTGTGTTTGAAAATGGTACGACAATTCTTCTGTTTCAACAAGTAATGCATTGAATTAAAATCACTTACTCGTTTTTAAATCAAAGTTTGATTCTCACTTCTAATGTTGTGGTAATGTGAATTTGAAGAAGTTAATCAGCCTGATCATTGTAATGTTTAGGAGAGATTTCTTCAAAATGTACATTTGTTTTAGTATTTATTGTCGTATTATCGTTTGCTTTTGTAGGTAATTATGGTAAGTTAGTTCATTGTAGTATGTATGAGTTCAAAAATATATAGAAAAGCAATTTGTGCAAGATTAATGGGATAAAACAGATATTGAGGATCCGTAACGCAGGTAATCTTTTGAACTGGATTCCGAAAAGAACAGTCTAAATTTTGCTTGCATTTTTCTCTTATTCCGTTGCTTTTGATTAGAGTCGTAATTATAAGGTCAGAGTTCATCGCAACTAAAACTTGGCCACATAGCAGTTATATATATCCTTCGTTTTCATCTATATTTACTGACAGCAGTTATTTCAGTTTTGACTTCATTTTTCAAAGCCAAACCAGCATAATTAGAGCTTTCCAAAACTGACAGTACTTGTGTGTGCCCTAGCATAGCAGTGGAATAATAGCAGAAAAGCGAGCAAAATTTTACTTATATAATATTTGCAGGAGGTATTCTCAGACCCTTTCGCTATTGATTTTCAATTCCCTTACATTGCATGCTATAGGTGGTAGTGGCAAGCAGTGAGAGGCTTTCTCGATGTGCTCCCCAGTTCTAGCACTACTTGCCGGGACACAGGTCTGAAGTAGTATCACTTGATGTATGTTTTCGCGTCAAGTGTCGTCTTCGTAAATTTGAATATTTCTGAACTTAATGACCATTTTCATCATTGCGCTTGCTTGTATAGTTTGAAAATTGCACTGCTGTGCAGTAGTGGTATGAGAGTATTGAGAGTGATGCAACTTTTGTTGGGTACTGTATTTCATTCCGTGCATGCGATTAAGCATCTGAATATTTTAGTTGAGGTAACTTGAAATGAAAAAAGGAATCATTTCTTAATATTGCTAAAGAGAGTGAGATGTTTGATGGTGCAGAATGTCATGCAGCAAATAGTGCTTCAAATTTGTTATAAATTTTACAAATACTCTTTGTGTATTATGTTATTATTGTAGAAATATCTTTAGCAAGACATCAGACTTTCTGTTTTTGAGAATTGTTTAGGTAATGAAACTTTTTCAACAGCTTTTATCTTGACTTTCGGTGTGCAGCAAACTTCTGATATCAGTCGCTTAATTTTGTTGCCTTATTTGAATTTGAGTTGAATGAGAGTTACCTTTGTCTTTATCAGATTCGTATCAACAGTAAAATTTATCGGCGGGCGGAGAAATTTCTATCTTGCGGGGACAAATGAGGAATTGTAACTTTTTTCCAACAAGTTGAAATATTTTAATGTAAAATATGATATGTTTTTAACTATTTTTAGTACTGTAAGGGAGAAAGGAATATTCATAGAAAGAGAAAAAAGTGAAATGAGGTGCTGTAAATTAGAATACTCTCAACATTTGCTGTGCCTCCAATAATAGTTGCATGGTTCGCATTCTTTAAGACCATACTTTTGTATATTAATTCGTTATCTTCAGGGTGAAGGAGAAAGTTGGTTGAGAATTATTTTTCTCGGAAATTAATTGCCATTTACGGATAACTTATTTATGCATGAGTTGATATAGCTTGCTTGTGGCCCGATTTTTGTAACAAATGACTGAAATTCCAAGTTAGATTTTTCGTTTAATAATTTGCTTAAGAAAATCCTTCACTGGAGAAGTAGTATTTGTGCTGCAAATAAGCTCATGTAGTTTCTATGCAGAAATGTTTAGCTTTTTCTCCAGTCTTTTGTTGGTAGTTTGAGTATTTTTCAAGTTCGCACCATATATTTGATTTAATTTTCTTTGCATTGTTTTTGAGCAGATTTTATATCTTGTTGTGGCGTAGAATTTTCATAGAGTTGTCATATTTTTAGTTTTAAATTTTAACTGCAGTTGATGCTTTTAGATCTCTTGTGAAACACTTTGGGTAAACTGATTTGG